TTTCGATAATTGGTCTTAAATGGATTTATAAGAATAAAACTAATAAAGAAGGCAATATTGTTCGAAATAAAGCAAGATTAGTCGTAAAAGGGTATTCACAACAAGAAGGTATTGATTATGAAGAAACCTTTGCCCCTTTAGCAAACTCGAGGCGGTACAAATTTTTATTGCATGTGCATCTCACAAGGGTTTGGATGTATATCAAATGGACGTGAAGTGTGCATTCCTCAATGGTGTTCTGGAGAAAACAGTGTATGTCGAACAACCACCAGGTTTCGTTGATAATAAGTATCTTGATCACTGTTACATTTTAGATAAGGTAGTCTATGGGTTGAAACAAGCAACTCGTGCATGGTATGCAACTCTAACTAAGTTTTTGAAAATCGCTAAATTTAAACAAGGATCCATTGATCCTACCTTATTTCGAAAGAAAGTAGGGGATCATCCCATGCTTGTTTAAATTTATGTCAATGACATTATTTTTGGTTTGGCTGATCCTTCTTTATATAAGGAATTTGAGGATATAATGAAAAGCCAATTTGAAATGAGTATGATGGGTAAAATAAATAAATTTTTTGGATTAAATATTCATCAGTGTAGGGAAGGAATTTTTATAAATCAAGAAAAGTATACTCGTAACTTACTTGATAGGTTTGACATGATGAAAAGCACGAAAGTAAAGGTACCGATGGGTGTTAGCACACGATTAAGTCCTTCGTTGGACAAGCTTGTTCTGGATCTACAGACATATAGAAGCATGATAGGTTCGCTCTTATATTTAACTACAAGTAGACCTGATATTATGTTTGTTGTATGTAATTGTGCCAGGTACCAATTGAATCCCAGAGAACCCCATATCACTGCTGTAAAGAACATATGTCGATACCTCAAAGGAACAGTATCGTTGGGTTTATGGTATCCATAAAAGACAGGATTTCTTATTCAAACATTCTCTGATGCGGACCTAGGTGGTTTTCAACGAGATTGAAAGAGCACAACTGGTGGATGTCAATTTTTGGATGGAAAGCTTGTGAGTTGGCAATCAAAAAAGCAGACTTGTGTTTAGATTTTGACTGCTGAGGCAGAATATGTTGTTGCTGCTGCGTGCACCTCACAAGTGATTTGGATTCAAACCTAACTGCGAGATTATGCAATCAATATGAAGAAAATACCTTTATATTCTGATTCTTAAACTGCTATTCGCATCTGCCACAATCCTGTCCAACATTCAAAAACCAAGCATATTGCTCTTCGATATCATTTCATCAAAGACCATGTTGAATATGGGAACATAGATGTCCATTTTATCAACACAACGGATCAACTTGCAAATATTTTTACAAAACCCCTAGATGAAAATTCTTTCTTAAGGATTTTGAATGGATTGAGAATGATCGATGCAAGTTTTGTTCCATGTTCTTCTTGTTCGCATTCAAATTCTCTATGATTCGCTCAGCGTACAATTCCCTTTTGGGGTAAAAGATGTTCGATGTGCAATATGATTGAGGGTTGCTATATGATACATCGAACGTGTCTCGATAACATTTTAAAGTTCATTTTTGTTTGTTCTTTTTCAAAATATAAAAATCCAAAAAGATTTTATTATTTTTGTATTTGATTTCTAAAAACAAAATTCTTATTTTTGTATTTTTTTTTTGAAAAATTAAAAATCCAAAAAGATTTTCTTATTTTTATACTTGATATTTTTGTATAACGGTTCACGTCTCATTGTAACAACCTGCTGCTGAGATGCATGTTGAACGAACATATCTATCAAGGGGACAGGTATACATTCGAACTGATGTACTAGTTAGGAGTCTCTAGAAGCATGTTGATGCATGTTGACCTCAAGACTCATGGACTCTATGTGTTCGAAGCCTTAATGGAACTCTCACTATGAAAGTTTCTTCCCAGTTAGGCTATATTCACATTAGTCGAAGAGCTACCTTTCTCTTCTCAAGTTGAGTAAAGAGATTAGTGCATGGTCCATATATTTCACAGAGGTACACTGCGTTCTTCTAACCAACATTTTTCACCCAAAATTTCTTTCACAATCACACACTACACAACATAGCCTTGACATCTATGGTTGAAACCAACCAGAATGTAGATATCCCAACACTCTGTGTTAATGATCCTAAGTCATTTTTCCGTGATGATGGTGAAACCCACGATCCTCAACTATCAAGGAAGTGACAGTGAAAATTTTTGTTCAAGATTTTAACAAAACATTTGTTTCTGTACCTTTTCAATATTCAAAATCATATTCCATTCGACCTACATGATCTTGATGAAATGATCTAAAACCAAGACATTTTTGCCCAACAAGATCCAGTACTTATTTTTCTGGAATGTGATTTTCGTCTGATTAACTTCCTGACTTTTCGTTATTTCAAATCATATCCAACCATACTTGTTCTTGTCTACACTGGTCATCCAAGTAATTTTGTTCAATTGAATCACACTTATGTTAAGTTTTTAGTGTTGAGCAAAATTGAACCTACCTTTCGAAACCTATAAAAAACAAGTCCTTCGATGCTCATCAAAGAGTATTCGATTGTAATTCACGGGATACCACTCAAGCAGTTTGTCATCTCTCTTGATGTCGAATGAAGAGATCTTTGTCTGGGATCATTCTGCATTTGTATCAAAAACATTCTGATATCACTATATCCACATATTTTTTTTAATTTGCTTATCTCTCATTCTTTGGCACACAATTGCATTGAAATCCTTGAGGTTTTGAGTACTACCAACTCAAAACTTAGATTTTGCAAATATTGGCATATGATTTCTCTTTCAAATTCCAAAAGTGAACGAGCCTTGCCTCTTTGCGAAGGAATGATGTTCTCTTGATGTCGAAACAAAAAAATGTACTTGGATTGCAGTTCGAAATATGTGGCGGTTCTTATCCGGTTGGGAACATCAAAAGATCAGATGTACATGACGGATTAGGATTTTCACGGGTTTCAAGGAAAAGGTGATGATCACTTTGATGACGTGGAGCATTTTACGGTGACGGTTAATTACCCAATACAATACGTGCCATTCTTTCATTGGAAGATCAATTTAAATTCAAACTTATCACCGAGTATAAAAGGAAACTGGTTATTTCCTTAACAAACATTATAATCTCAAATCAAATTTCCTAAAATCACAAATTATTCATCATCTTCAAACGATTTTGCAAACAATGCAATGGATGCTCCTCAAACAATTGTTGATCTGACAACCACAACTAAAGAATAAGTCTCACAACCTATGATGAAGATTCAGAATACTAATCTTCGATTGATTTCGAACGATTGATCAGTATCCCGAGTAATTACGAATGCTGATTTAAACCCTAAATAAGTATGTTCTAACCACAGCATTGTGGTTTTCATTTGCGGTTCCAATGTCATGGATTTCTCTTGCTGATTCCACTGTGGTGTTCAAAAAACAACAAAGGTTGTTACGTTTCAATTGACGAACTCAAAGACGAGAAAGCTTACGAGGAAGCATTTTGCCCAAATCATGAAATTGCCTGTCTCAGGTACTTTCTATGAAGTTTCTACTGATCAATTTCTTCATATGTTCAATGAAATGGGGCACCAACCAGTTCTGACTAGAATAAGTGACTTTAAAAAGTCGATCCTTCCCTGCATATGGAGTTTTCTCTTTGGAATTGTGTTACGATGCTTGACAGGTCGAAGTTCAGGGTTAGGCAAAGCCAAACTGGAAATTTATTCAGTTATTGTTGGGCTGTACTATGGTCTGAATGTGGATTATGCCACACATCACTGGGAGTAATTTGGAATAGTAATTACTCACACCAATCAGGCTAATGGTGTTTTGTGTTCTCGTTACTAGAGTCTGATTCTGGAGGAGGTCTATCAACAAGAGGTAATTTTGGTTCCTTCTGATGTCGAAACTTCTTAGTTTTCAACTATGGCTGCTCCAAGTATTGTTGTTGATGATCCATTTATATTTCCTATTGTTACTCGTATTCCAAATGTGATGCTCAAGCCTGTTGATCATCAAAATCCGCTTCTTGTACAGTATTTGGCTTTAATTGACTCTACTATATCGATTGGTGTTCTTCTATCAAAAGAGGTTGAGGGTTCTTCGAAATCATCTAAAGTTTCAAAGAAGAAGAAGAAAGCTGAGAAACCACCAACTGTAGCGGAGGAGTTAAAAAAGAAATTATTCCTTCGAAATCAGGAATTCTCAAGCGTACCAAGAAACTAGCAAATAAACCCCATGATTCTCCAGTCAAGCAATCTGTTCAAGAACCAAAAATTATAACTACTGAGCAAACGCATGTTAACTCTTTGCGTACTCATTCTTCTCATAATGGTATCAAGAAGATTCAAAAGCCTCAGTTCAATAGGAGAGGTGTCTTGTTTAGAGAACTAATTGTTATTGTCTCACCTACCTCGAAGAAGCGTCAAGCCTTGGATATGGCTAAGAAGTTGCAACAGAAGAAACAAAAGCATCAGGATCCACTTGACCAAGTGACTGTCGAAACTGATAATGACAGTGACAGTGGAAGATCGGATATTCGCATAGAAGATTCTATGCTTGATCACCTCAAAGGGATTCTCCTCTCAAGTTGAATTTCGAGGCGGCAGGGGGATTCTGATGTCACTGTAAACGTATCTAATATGGATACAAACATCAATTCGAATGATCACACAACAACATCCATCCCTGAGAAGACTACGATTATACCACCCGAGGTTTTGCATACTGAGTCCAATACAGAGGAGGTTCGAACTCCAGACATCCCTGTGGACTTATCTGATAAAGACACAAATGTCAACATGGGTGAAGGGGTACTGAACAATAAATCCTTTGTTACTTCTACGTTTGAAACATCAACACTTCCTACATCAACCATCATATCATCTACTGTTAAAACTTCTACAGTTGAAATCTCTACAGCTTAACCACCTATTTCATCACCTATCACAACTTCAATTCTAGTTTGGACCATCTCACCAACCTACTCAACCATCATGCATGAACCAATCACCGCTTTGTTCTCTTCTCAATCTACTGAAGCTGAGAGACTGATCCATGAAGAAGAACCAAATGATGATGAAATCACGGTATCATTTCCTGATCTTTAATTCGATCCTGAGGATGAAAACGTTCCTGATGAGATGATTATGTCAGGTAAACAACTCAAAACCATCAACTCCAAAATTAATTCTATTCTTTAAATAAAAGTTAATACTGGGGGAAGGAATTTTGTGACCGGGGTCGAGATGTAGTATTTTTTGAAATCTTAACAGAATCGTTTTCGAAGTTTGGTAGAAAGCATTGAGCAGAAACAAGTCAAAAGGTTGGCAGTTCATTCAAAAAATTTTGAATATGAGATTCGAAAGCTTTGTGACGTAGCAAAGGAGAATCATGACATTTTTGTTAAACAAGTGACACAAATGAAGGAGTCTGTGGATCTTAAAGTGGCTGAAATTAAATCGGATATGTCCAAAGAGGTTGAAAAGATAGAGAAAAATTACACTTTGTTGCATAGCAAAGTTGATGTCGTTGCGACTGCTATCACAAAGTTGTTTGATTTCAACACTGAGTATTCGAACAAGCTTGAAGTAATGTTGGAAAAGTATTCTCAGGTGTCTGAAAAGTTGGAAGAGTTTTTATCCAGTATCAAGGAGTCTATTTTGAAAGTTGATCTTTCGAGTCAATCATCAGTCTCTCAAGAGTCAATCTCTCAACTAATTTCGACTATTGAGACCAATATCAAAGCAGATCTTGATCCCACACTTTATTTGGTTCTTTGATTGCCAACTAATGTTCCATGTGTGGTGCAAGTGTCACAAGGGGGAGAGAAAGGATGTGGAGGAGTTGGTTCCTCAATAGATTCTGATAAAGGGGTTGTTGTTTGGAGAGTAAGTTCGACTCAAATTCCGACTTTACTTCCCATATCGCTAACCACAACTTCTACAACAACAACAACAAGACCACTAACGAAAGGGATCATAATAAACGAAAGAGCTAGTGGTTCAAGTTCAAGTTCAGTACCACCAACTTCGAATGAAGATCAAAGCAATAAAGGGAATGTTATCTTTGTGGTTATTTCAGAAGAAGAGAAGAAAAAGCAACAAGCTCTTGAAATTGAGAAGGAAAGGAAAATCAACAGTATCATGAGGCGAAGACTAAATGACCCACCTGACTTGAACAAGGGTGATCCTCATAAGCAGTGGTGTTACGAAACAATTGAGGATATTGTTTCGATTGGGTTGAATGACTACTTTCGCAAGGTGCCTAAGAAGATCTATGATATCAAGAATTCGGATTTCAATCAGCTTGACTTCCCAATAAACCACATATTGTTCACATCTTCCCAGTTCAAGATTGTTGAAATTTTCAATGATAAAGATTAGTTTAAAAGACTGAAGATTCGTTTCCATGCGGGCTTGGGGAAAATCGAAGAAGAATTTTGGTCATCTCAGAAGATTGTAAAAGTGATGACTATAATGCGAGAAAACTTGTTCGAAGGACTTCTGCAAAAATTTTGCTATGTGGTCTTAAGAGCGAACAATGTTGTTTGTGAGTTCTCAATTGCAGATTTCCCACTGATGAACTTAAATGACTTGGTTACTGTCACAAGGATTTGAAGTAATGTGGATGTTTTGAAGCTAACTTAAACCAATAAGAATGATTTCATCATTGGTTTTGCTCATATCAAGGTTTTCATAGACAACTATTATGATTGCCTAGCAATTACGGATATTGATCTTGCCTTAGTTGTCAATAAGCCTATGAAATTTCCTAAATCTCTGTTGAAAGGGAAGATTAATATTTATAAGTATGAAGATGGGGAGATACTACATCAGCCTCTTTGGGTTGTATTTTGAGGGAATAATAAGAATGGGATGTAGAAAAAATCTTTATTTCAAGTTAGTGATTTAGAGAGGTATACGAATGTTCAATATACCAATCTCCTTGTTCGAATCAACAACTGCAAGAGGAATGAAGTTGAAGACAAGGCAAAGATTCGAAAGACAATTTTGTGGTATATGGAGGTTCGCAATGTACTTCTTCAGACTTTGAAACTTATGGCATAATTTCGACTACTCTCACTATGGGGGAGATTGTAGGGGTCGAAATGTAGATAGTGAGGAGTCCAAATATGTTGAGTCTGTAAGGGTTAGAAATCATAATGATTTCAAATCTCTATGTATTTACAATGCACTTTTTGTTTTCGATGCTAGAATGTATAGTCCTTGTGTTTTTTGTTGAGTTTGGTGTATCCTATAAATAGGGTAGGTACTAGAGTCGAGAGTAACTTTGGTGCTAATCTGTATTGTAAACACTCTCAAAGACTTTGTACTCACTTCAGACTAATACGAGCCAATTAGGTCATATTTACATGATGTGTTCTTACTGCTTTCTTTGATTGTTTGTATTCGTTTATCGATTCTAACTCACATCAAGGGATAGAATTTGCGTCTAAATAAATTAAAGATTAGAACGAATAGCCTATGAGTGAGACAAAGTAGTCATAATAAGGATTCCAGAGGTATAAGGAGCGCTCAAAACGGACTTATAACGGATGAGTTATGACCCGTTGAAGTTTCTCGTTCTACGATATCGTAAATATTTAATCGGAGTTAGGACGATTATTAGCCTTAGTAATCTAAATGAAAGTCGTAGTAGTCGTTAAACCGAGAGTGTATATATAGAGAACGCCCCAATCTGACTTCGTAAGAGAAAGTTAGGATTTTTATAAGTTTCAGCGTAGCAGTATACGGCTCAGAAACCGAAGTAGAAATCAGTTGATTGTTAGGAAAAGCAATCTAAACGAGGGTTGGAGATCTCGTCCATATGGTTTCGTCGATATAAATACAGTCGAGAACGGATATCATATGAGGAATTTATGAATTTTTAACGAACTTTAACAATCTAATCCTATTAAAAATATAGCTTTAAAAAAAAGTCATAATTAGCAGACGGAGTCTAACGAAAGTTGTAGATCTCGTCGAGGGCTTTCCGCAAATATAAAGAACTTCGAAAATGGAGCTCGTATGAAGAAGATACGATTTCTGAAGTTTTCCGAGAAGCGTTACGCGCAGGTGGGTTGCACGGCGCGCACCTTCTAGAAGGTGGCGCGTATACCATCATATTTGAGACATGCCGCAGAAAAATGGGAGGAGCGACGCTTCAGGTGTGCGTGGCGCGCACACTAGGCGTGGCGCACAGTTACGCTATAAATAGACTTCGGTTGCTCATTTGCTTCCTCACTCCCCATCCTCCTCTCTCTCGAAATTCTCTCAATTTTAGCCCATTTCCCTTAGTTTTAGCCTTCGGCGAAGCCCTGCGATCCCTAAAGAAGTTGTAGCTAGCGAGTAAAAGCTATGTCAGTTTTAGCCTATTTTTTTCATTATATATTTTTGTTTAAAAAAAATTATCATAAAGATAAGGGCCCTTTTTATTGTTTGTCATGAGCCTTTGAGAATATTTAATTTTTCAGGACTGACTCTGCATATAATGGTACGTACATACGGTTAATGTATTGCTTTTGAAGTTATGCTTTATGTATTTAATTATAAGGTTATTATAATCTACAAAATATTATATTCTTGTTGTATATTTTTACCAATAAATCAGGTAATTCTTAGTCATAGAATTTTGATTCATTATTAAACAAATATAAATGTCTATTTATTAGAAAAAAATAAAGTGGAAATTTATTATAAAAAGTTAAATACATAATAAAATTATACATACTTTTTGTTAACGATTAAACTAAAACTTTTAACAGACTATAAAGGTATTTAATTTACATTTGCAAACATCTAACTCTTCTTGAATATACTTGAGATTCACGAGATAATTTATTTAGTTATTGTAGATAGTTAATTTAATCAAATATAACCATGACTTTTCACGACTGAAACGTGTATAGATAGGAAGACCCGAACAGGGTTCGTGCTTTCAAAATTCAATTTTCCAAAAAAACGTGTCGATTTTGTCTTGCACTCTTCAATTAGCCAACCAAGAAGTCTACAGCTTTCAAAATTCAATTTTCCAAAAAAAACGTGTCCATCTTTCTATTTATGTTATCCTTAGTATTTTCTATTTATGTTATCATTATATTTATATTTTATCTATTTATTTATTTTATAATACGAATGATAATATTTAATTTTAAAACGTTTTTACTTACTAAATAAACATAAAAGTAATTATACTATCAATATCATCTAAAAGATTTCAACAATAAAAAAATACATTACATGATAATAAAAATAATAATTACGTAGAACTACTTAAAAAACGTCACAAAAACATAAGTTTTGACACTTCAGGCGCAAAAGTTTCAAGTTATTTTTAAATATGCATTTGTCGTTAGCCCCCTTCAAAATATTAATTTATAGGCGTAAGCAGAAATGTCTAACAATATTGGCATCTAAAATTTTATTTCCGATCAAATATAATAACATAAAAAAAATAAATTAGGAGTGTATTAGATATAACAAACTAATGTAGAACTTACATTTTAAATTTAACATCTCTGTATACATATTTTTTTGATACCGATCTATTACATCTTCGATCTTAATTTTTATAAGGACTTCTTTTGCGACATTACAAATCAATGCATCATTAATAAAATTATCACCCATTTTGTTACACAAATTGGTTTTCAAGAGCTTCATCGCAGGAAAACATATTTCCATTGTTGCGGTCGTGACGGGTAAACCAAAGTCAGCTTTAATAGCCTATAAAACATAGGATAAAAGCGACGTTTCCCCATTTCCACCATCAAACGGAAAAGGTCGGCAATTCCCTGTAAACTAGTGAATCTGTCATCTTTATGACCACAAAATGGTAAAACATTTTTCATTAAAAATCTAAAAAAAACCATCTAAATCAGATAACTGAAGTTTATAGTTACTCTAGTAAACTTCGGTTTGCTTCTTAAGGGCGACACTAATAGATTGTAACATATTCTTTTGGAGGATCCTTCAACATTTGATTCATTTGACCTCGACCTATTTAAAAAAAATACCAAAATCCACCTTAACAATTCAATATTTCAACAAGTAAGTAATACAACAACTCAACAACTAACCAAAATAATTAATTGAAACAAGTCAACAAAAACTCAAAAACTGATTTCAAGCAAAAACAACTACTAATTTCAACAAAAAAACTAGTAGTTTCAAGAAAAAAACCAAATAATTTTATAAACCTAAAAAAATCATACTTGTTTCATTCTTGGGTTTAGAGAGACCACAATTTCAGCGTGGAGAGGTCTTAGATTCGACCTGGAGGAAGCTTCACAAATAGGGTCGACCAGTGTAGTTTTTTTTTCTTCTAAGTCATTCCCTCTCTCACTCTTGCTTCATGTTGTTTCTTTTTACCGATCAAATCACACAAACACAAAGACATTTGGACTTTGTGAATTGGGCTATTATATATATATATATATATATATATATATATATATATATATATATATATATATATATATATATAATATATATATTTGGGTCGTGATAATCAAGGTCAGAAAGAAATGATTCGTAAGCTGGTTTTGAGTGATTTCAGAAAAACACGATTTATAGTGGTAATATAATTTTTGAGTGATAAATATTTTGTTATTGTTTGTAATTGTATCATGGATGTATGTCTATAACACTCGAATCCAGGTACTTTCCTTTTTAGTCCTTGAAATAAAAATATAATTGCGAAAGAGCTCCTGTCGTACGCTGGGCATACGTCTATGTACGCTTAGCATACATGGGCATGTTGGATCTGGAATCTGAGCCACGTACGTGGGGCGTACGTAGCCAAAACTAAAAACCCTAATTTTAGGTCATGAGCCCTATTTAAACACATTTATGACCTTTGGACCCTCACCCTTATCAGCCTTCACTACTATTAACGTCCCTAAAACCTTAGTTTGCCTTTGAGAGTGATATTTGAGCTTGGAAGTAACTTTAGTGGCCTTTTTGGTGTGTTTCCAAGAAGAAGAACTTGGTGATCAAGCTTTGGACGTGGTTGAGCTTCAAGATCCTGAATCTATTTCATCTTAGGAAGCTTTTGAAGGTAAAAAGCTCATACCTTGTTGATCCTTTTGATAGTTAAAGTTAGGGTTTGTTTATAAGCTCATTTTGGGTCCATGGATTCTCTTTTGGGAGTTTAGGCAACTCCATAAGCTACAAATGTTAGATCTTAGTCTGTATGATGTGTTAGAAGCATAAAAATGTTATCTTGGTGGTTGATATGAAACCATGCATGGATCTAGGTCCTTAATGTGAGCTTTGATAAACAAAAATGGATGTTGGACTCCCATAATACATGCTAAGGCATAAAGTTGCCAACTTTATGCCCTAGAACCCCTTTAATGTTCGAGATCTGGAAGTTAGATTAAACGGCTGCATGGATTAAGCACCAAATGGCTAAAGGTGCTGAGAAGCTCAGTACATTGAGTGTACCAAGATGTACGCAGCGTGTACTGCATGGTGATCGAGTACGTTGAGTGTAATGAGTTTACGTCGCACGTACGCCCTAGTGGGATTTTGGACTTTTGTTGGACTTTTGGATCATTGGGCCTTAGTTGGTTTTAG